TTCAAGTACAACTATGCTCTTTATTATAGAAATAAATGTTGTTTTCAAGAACTTTCAAATTCTCAACTAAAATCTTCATTTTTTTGTTTGGGATTTATTTCTAGAGCATGTTTGGGGCTTGTTTACTTTGTTTTTTCTCTTTGTTTTGATCTTCTTGGGTCCTGCTGTACAGATAATCTCGGTTCAATTTCATTTTTCATTTCTTGGTTTGTTCGTTTTAATCTTTTTTTCTTGTTTCTCATTTACAATCTTTCACACATGCATTCATTTAGGTATTATAGTTAATATATTTCTTTTAGAAGTTTCACACAGATTTTGTTTTTATGCCAAGTTATGCCTGTTTTATTACATTTTTGTAACGTTCTCAGTCTTTTACGAGAGTGTGGGGTTTCATTATTTGCTCTAAAATAATTTGAGGTTCTGATCTCACCTGCAGCCCCTAAAGCCCTTCACCAGCCTCTGTCCTCTTGTCATCTTCTTTCTTTTGTGTTTAAGATGGTAGAAAAAATCCACAATATTTCATTTAAAAGTGGGGTTTTAGCAAAAAAAAAAGCAGGTTTATAAATATACCCCGTGTTGAACTAACACAGACCCAGGAGGTCTTTGGGTTCTCTTTTGTCTCTTCTTCTTGTGTCCTGCAGGCATGCAAGCAGGCCCACTTACAGAAAAACACACATTTCGTCGTGACATCTGAGATTTTTCTGTTTAGATGTAAAATAACCATAAACAGCCTCCACCTATAGAGAGCTAACAGAATGCATGCATCTGAAAAACTGATATGATTTTGTTGAGTAAAAAAAGAACATCATGCTGTTGCAAAACAGTATTCCCTTTAGTTTTTGAAGAACCTGCACAGCAAGACACATACAGTAAGTGTCTGAAAGTGGAAAATAGAAGCAAAAATAAAGCTGTGATGCCAGTCAGGTTTTACCCTTGATTTGTGATGTTCACCTCTGGTTTTCCGGCTCTACCTTCAGCTGTTCTCAGATCCCAGCTCTGCTGCAGACAAACAAACACAAACCCCCTCATTACAGCTCACGGGACTGTGTGTGCCTTGGAAACATGCAGCCAAGAGCATGGCGTGTGCCTCATTTCATGCTTCTCATCAAATTGATGGCAGATGAGCTTCGAAGATGAACAAAGTTGTTTTATCTGTGTCGGGATTTTGTGTTTCTCCTCTTGAAAATAGATTTCAACTCTTTACAGACTCCGTATAATCAGTTTTTTGTACAGAGTACTGCTTAACCTCTCATATCGAGGTTCGGTGCTGCATCAGCAGACATCCCATCGCATCAGTTTTATGCTGCATTGGGTTCTGCAGTCAGCAAAGGGAAAAAACACTTTTCGTACATAAGTGACGGAAAAGGGCACTTTTGGCGTCAGGGGTCTGACGCGGAGGGTGGCTGACCAAGCGTTTGTTTTTGACGCGCTGGGAGTGAGAATGTGTTGCTCAGTGACAAGTCTTCAGGACTGTTTTCATGGTGATTTTAAAAAAATCATCATTTAAAGGTGACATGTGTTAAATGCACCTTTTGTGGGTCACTACTAGTCTCTATGCACTTTTTCACACTGCAAACATGGAAAAACCTGTCCAACTATTCCGTCCATGTTTAGTTTCAAAAGGTTGCCATTAGTGATGTCACAAAAGGGGAATGAAGAATGGAGCCACCTCTCACGTGCAAGAGAGGATACGAGCCTCTCTCGAATATCGGAGCTTCTTTGCATATAGCAGCCTGAGTGTGGGATGAGTGGGCGTGGTCAGCTCCAACAGAGCCCTGAAATGGCTCATTCTGGAATGTACTGAAGGTCAAGAATAAAACAGCTGAAACCGCTTTATGTTAAAGGGACTTTTTGAACAGAACTTTGTACAAATATGTTGTATCCACCTTAGAGCTGTTACAGCTGAAGAAATGAACAATACTGAACGTTTTATAACTCCAAAAGATATTTTTTCCATTCTGTGTGCTTTTAATCAGGTTGTTTTGCACAAAGAGAAAACACTTGGTTGTTGAGCATCAACATGTCGGACAGCTGTGGGACAGATCTGCAGCTGTGTGTGTGTGCGTGTGTGTGTAGGGGTCGTCCGTTGGCAGGAAGCAGTAGGCAGCGAGTGATGTGGTCAGACCCTCTGTCACCACTGAGAGGAGAGAAAGAGTCCGGTGTCTCTGTCTTCTCGTCGTCTTCCTGTTGGTTGTTTTCTTTTCCTGATGATCGTTCCTCTTTGCAGGAAAATAAAACACGGATAACGTCCGCTGATGGAGAGAATACTAAGCCGTTTGATAGAACGTTAGCTTTTTCAGTTTGGCATTGTGTTCCAGTTGGGATAAACTACAAAAAAACAGAAGTTTTTCTTCAAAGTTGAGGGTTTTCTGTTGTCTTTACTCAAATTTAATTAATAAATCTATTTACCGTGTCTCTGACGTACACTTCAGTAAATTAAACACCAAAATCAACTTCATGAGCAACGTTTAGATTTACACTGAACATTTCCATCTACTTTTCCTTTAGAAGAACGCATCCTGTTCATTGTCTCAGACAAATTTAACATTTTTGGTCAAACTTCAGAGGTCTGTCTGATTTATGTGAAGACAAAGATTGAGAGAAAATCAACGGAAAAAAGCCGAATGAAGGGTGAGTGGAAAATCACTTTTTGTAAATAAAACATGGAAATCAAAGGGAAGAAGGAGAGTAGCGGTGGCTGAGGGAGGTGGGTGAGTAGGAGGTAAATTGAGGTAACCGAGGGAACAATTAGATGGGAATTTCCAGTGTTAGTAAGAGAGTAAGCTTTTGTTATAACAGACTGAGAGATTAGAGCATTTTTATACTTTCTACTAAGTCCTGCACAAAACATGTTTGGAACATTTATACTGATGTTTGTGTCTGGGATGAGCGGGGAAGCATGAAGCTGCAGCAACGTGGAGACTTATAACATTTAAATGAAAGCTACACTGCAAAATTTGACTTTCAAGAAAACAAAATAAAGTCTAATTTTTGAGCCTTTCATTGTATTTTTAGTCTAAAATGATTTAAAAAAAGAAGAAAAAAAAGAAAGAAATATTCTTAGATAGGATTCAAATTTTCTTGTTTTGAGTTAAAAAAAATCTTAAAAGGAGTTAATAAATCTAACCTTAGATTTTCTTTGCCAGTTTAAAGAATTCTGGCCTGGCAGCTTTTGCTTGGCCCATTGGTGATTTGTTTACTCAAAACAAGAAAATTCTAATCATATTCAATAACGCTTGCCGTTTTTCTAGATAAGACATTTTCTTTATAGATTAAAATAGGATAAAAATGTCTAAAAATTAGGGTTTCTTTTACTTTCTTGAAAATAAATTTTTGCAGTGATAAAAATAAAAATTGCTGCAAAAAAGGCTGCAAAAAACAAATATAAAAAGAAAAGATTTAAGGATTGTTCATCTTTAGGAATTCCCCTCCATATCATATTATTATAATTTTTATGTCATTTAAAACGATAATAAATGACCAAATCATTCTAAGTGATAATAAATAAACTGGTGAGATTTAATCCCAACAGAAGAAAATTACTACTTATCAAAATAAGAACATTGAGAGAAAATCCTACTCACACCATCAAAAACTACAAATAACACTGGGACTTAATTGTTTGGTGTCTCATTTTTGGTGCCCCACACAACTCCAATAAAACATACTTCTAATCCTTCCACATATCCCTGTATAGGTCGGCGGTCCGGTCACGATAATCCAGAAGCATAATAAAAAAATTCAAACACAATGCAAACTGTCCATCGGGACATTTGGGACTTCTTCTTGCTCTAGGGTCTGACGGGAAAGTAGTTTGTTTATTTGTAATGTCGAAAAAGCACAAGGAGCTGTATAATTTTTCCTTTACGGTCTGTGAGAGGTTAATGTGCTCATTAGTTATCGTTTAAATAGATTAGAGCGTAAAGTGGTTAACGAGAAAACAAAAATGGTTAAAATGGAGCAAAGTCAAAGGTTTCCATGTAAAGGGTAGGATCAATTCCATTTTCATTTCCAATCAACAGGCTGAAGTTCTACAACAGGAAATAAAGAATAAAAGCCCAATCTAGAAGCTTTTGCACAACATCTTGAAAGTTGTTCAAACGTTGTCCCAGATGCATGTTGGAAAACCACGAGGAGGACTTTATTAGAGCGGCACATGCCTGGGAGAACAACAGAGAATCCTCCTGTAATTCATCTGGCTGCAACTCGCTCATATTTTCAGTTTTTAATTAGAATAAATTACAGCTGGATATTTCATATTCTTGGCAGCATCCCTGCAAACAGTCAACATCGCATGGATGTGCAGATCATGTCTATGTTGAGTCTGTCTGTCCAGACCACGGCTGTTGGACGTCCAAACTAGGTCTTTGCACAGTGGTATACATCCCTGAATTACCCTGAAGTGTGTTTTTAAGTAGGTGAAAGAAAAACATAAATAAATACAGGATTATACAAAAAGGGACAGAAGGAGCGGTGATGAGGAAGAGGATCAAAGAGGAAGAGAAGGTTTTATTAAAGAGAGAAGAGCTTACCCCTGCAGTCAAGAACAGCAGAACGGTTCTGCCCCCCAGAGGCAGCGTGTGTGTGTGTGTGTGTGTGTGTGTGTGTGTGTGTGTGTGTGTGTGTGTGTGTGATGAGAGGGAAGTGTTGAGTCACTGTCACAGGATGTCCCTCTTTTCTTCACGATACACACACACACACACACACACACACACACACACACACACACACACACACACACACACACACACACACATACATACAGTACTTATAGTACTGTACTTATCATTTACAATTATCTTCAGTTTGGTGAAAACTCAAAATTGTGTTTTCAGTCTCTCTGGCGCGTGCGTGTTTGTGTGTGTGTGAGTGTGTGTGTGTGAGTGTCATTGCCTTCAGGTGAAAGGCCTGGTGCTTCCTCTGAAGAGGCGGGCCTAAGAAGTTGTGGGTGTGGCCTAAAGATAGAGCAAGAAAGAGAGAGAGAGGGAGACTTTAGTGAGAGAGATGTTGATTTAGTCAGGCATTTGAAAACAGGACTCCAAGTGGATCACACACACACACACTCCTGCGCAGACCCACCAGAGTGGAGTATCAACACTTGGAGCGGGAGGGGAAGAACTGCACCTGTCCCACACACACACACTCACACTCCTGAGAGGATCTTGTTGGTCGTCCCTATGTGTGGATGGGACCAAAGTTATACGGTAAGCAGAAAATATCTCATTCGTGCTTTTATCTTTCTTAACTTTATATTTTAACTTGCTTTCCTCTCATGTGTAAACTTTTAAAGGCAGCAGGTGAAAATCCAAAAATTCAGACTGAGTTTGCCAATTTTGGTGATTGTTTCTGTTTTTATGTGACGTTGATGGTCCAAGATATTAATGTTTAAACATTTCTGATGCTGGGGGTTTTTGTTTCACTTTTTCTTGCTTTTCTGTCCCAAAAACTTTAGGATTTAGTTTGATTTAGCAATTTTTGCCTTGCATTTGAGTTGCCTGAGCTTGGATTTCACACAGAAACATTTCTGTTTGGGGGTTTTGGTGGATATCACACACTTATTTTTGACTCGTTAACGTTGACATTACTTTTAAAGCCCTCTAACTTTGTGCAGAGTCAGCTTTTGTGTTTTCAGTTGGTCCAAATTCACTAGAAATGAATTGTTTCTTGCTTCTTGGTTTCACTATTAGTTTTCAGTGCTGCAGCTGTTATGCAAAGAGGATTCACTGTTTGGCTGAGAGCAGAAATGTTATGAAAAATAAAGAAAATGTTCTTTCATATTTGAATATTGTTTCATGTCCTTCATTGAAAAGACAAGCGGAGCAGAGAGCTGTTGTTTATCCCAGTCCTGAAGCTGCTGTTTGGGAGGAAGTGTGACACTTACTGGACTTTTATAAGTTATATAAGTCAAATGATGGATTTCAGGGAAGGTTGTATGATTTCAGTAAGATTTTATTAGCATTTGTTTCATTCAAATATTTTACTGACAGGTTTTACGGAAGTGAAATCAACTTTTTTACTTTTTAAATTTAAAGACTAGACGTTGTTGCCATGACTTCAATGGAATGAATTGTATCGTTGAGTTGTTGTGAGGAGATTTTGATGTGAAAATGTCATTTTAATACGTTTTGTCATCAGTTAAGAGTCGTTTTATCCTCAAGGAGCAACAGAAATGTCGCCTACAACTGGAATCAGTCGGATGTGAAATCATTTCTTTCTTGTGGCTTCAGAAAATTCAGCAGAGATGATTGTGGCCACTAAAGATTTGCTGCTTTCCGGTCGTCTGTGTGGGACAAGCAGGGTGTGTGTGTGTGTGTGTGTGTGTGTGTGTGGGGAGGGGGGGGGGGAGATAGACTTGGGTGGGATCATGTTTGAAGTTTTGTTTGTGCTGCCGTGGCCCCCCAAATGGAAAAGTTTTGACGCTCCCTTTTCCTCATCGCTCCCCTTGTCCATTACCAACACACACACATATACGTGCACACACACACACACACATGAACTCACACACTCCGGGAGTCGGGATGATTTGCCGGTTCCGCTGCTGTGCCACTCTGCTTCCAATTTTAGCTTCATTCAGACACAGACAGCATTTCCTTCCTCTCCAACCCCAGGGAGATGCAGGAAGGCGGGGGGGGGGGGGGGGGGGGGGGGGGGGGGGGGCATGGGAAATGTTACGTCTCTGCAGCCTGAGTAAACTCACCTTGTTTTTGAATAAATACAAGCTGAAAACAATAAAGAAAATCACTTTTAGTGTCAGCAGGAAAAAAAGATTTGACTGAAAATCCCCATAGGAAGACTCCTGTGAGCTGTACGTTGTTTCTTCCTGAATACAGAAATCTACTTAACAAAAACTTTTACACCAGATTGTTGATTATGGTAGAATTTTTAAGTGTTTTACAAACACAAAACTTCCAAAAATGCTCTGAATCCTTTGCTAAGCAAAAACAAGTTCGTCATTTCATTAACAAACGTTCCTCAGCTGCAGTTTGATTCCATTTGACTCATTTCATCAGTAATTTTCTGTAAAAGAACAAAAGATTTACTGTGATATTTTTTTATCACAACTAAACATTTAACAAAGAAACAGATCAGAACAACTAAAGGAAGAGTTTGGAGAGTTCTGCTAAAAATGAATTCAAATTTGATGAATGAATGACTGAATGAATGGATGACTCTTCTGTTTCCTAAATGAGTCTAAATGGTTGAGAAGTGTACTGCCTCTTCCTGTGTGTGTGTGTGTGTGTGTGTGTGTGTGTGTGTGTGTGTGTGTGTGTGTGTGTGTGTGTGTGTGTGTGTGTGTGTGTGTGTGTGTGTGTGTGTGTGTGTGTGTGTGTGTGTGTGTGTGTGTGCGCGCGCGCGCGTGTGCGTGTGTGTGTGTGTGTGTCAGACACTGTGTTAGTCAGCCCCCCCCCTCCTCATTGAGTCACCACATAATAATCAAAGATCTTCCTCTCCTCTTTGTCTCTCCTCATCTCCTCATCTCTGTGTTTTATCTTGTTTCACTCTAATCTCTTTCTTCCCTCGTTTTATTTCTTATCTCTTCCCACATCCTTGTATTCTAATCTTTTGCGCTCTGCCTGTTTTTTCTTCTATCCTTCATGTTTTCTTTACTTTTCTTTTATCGTCTGTTCTGTACTTTTCTGAGCCTAACTGTTATGCTTCCTTTCCTCATTTTTCCAAACTTTTTGTTGTTTTTTTAGAACTTTTCCTTTTTATTCTCTCCTACAGCTTCTTTATGCATGTTTCCTTGCAACTATTTATCTTTTTACTTATTTATGACTTTCCTTTTCTTAGAAATGAACAAAAACAAATGAAAACTCTCTTCTCCCACTCCCTTCTATCCCCAGGCGACCTCTCATAGCTCGGCCATGTTGACCAGTGAGGGGGCGCACATCATGGAGCAGGATGACACAACCCACGGCACCAAGATGGCCTCTACAGCCACCAGCGCTGGCTCTGATGGAGCGGAGACCATGACTGACACCGACTTGGACATGGAGATGGAGATGGAGGTGGACATGACACAATGGACAGAGAAGGAGTTTGAGGAGAAGTGCACATATATCGTGAAAGACACGCCGTTGGAGGCGGGGTCAGACGGTGACGCTGTGATGACATCAACAAGGGCCGAGGCGTCGCTGCCCAGGAACCTGGTTTTTAAAAACCTGGCAGGCAGCAAGGAGGTCAGACTAATACACACACACACACACACACACACACACACACACACACACACACACACACACACACACACACACACACACACACACACACACACACACACACACACACACACACACACACACACACACACACACACACACACACAGGCAGACATGTAAACTTTCTCCACACTCATTGGTTTTCACACACTCTCAGGCAGAGAAAGCCTTCTAACGCGTGAGTCAGACACAGGTCATGTAATGAAGAGGGGGTCGTGTCTTGTTGTAAAGTTTCGCACACACAAAGGAATGTGTGTGTTGTAGGGGGGGGGGGGGGGGGGTGAAGAACGCCCACAGCAGAATTTACACACAAACACTCTCAGAGACCGTTTCATCATCTTGAATCCGACCATGATAACTCATTTATCATCCGAGAAAATAATGATGGGGTTTGATCTTGAATGCTGTCATGTCCTTCTAGACTGAAATACCCACCTCAGCAAGTAGGGGGCGCAGGTCGACATCCCAACAAACAGTTTAGGGCTACTTGGTCATCAGAAGACAGCTCTGTGACAAAGTCGCAGCAGTTTTATGTGAATTTTGCAACTTATTTGTGGTGAATTATTACTGCATAAAGCCACCTCCGGCTTTAATTTTCCTCATTAACTCACATTCAGTCACTGTGACGTTTTTTTATTTCAAACATAAAATGTTAAGATTTTTTTTGGCTCATGATCAATCTGAATGTGAAAAAGTCAAAGTGCCAGACAGTCAAAGGTCGAAGGTGAGGCGAGGGAATTCACACGATCAAAACTCTTAATCAGAATTTCTTTTCTTCGGCCCAGCGATGCTTAACATCCACGTTTGAAGTGATTTTCCCATTTTTTGTTACAACTTTGACCTCAGCGTTCATGCTTTTGACATTTTCACACAATTAAATAAATGCTGCAGAACCCCTGCGTCCTCGGCTACATCCGGTGTTTTTCCGAGGCCTTTGAGCTAGGAAAAAAATGTGCATGATTGCAGGTCAAAAGGTTGCATCTTTGTCAATGTTGATTGTGTGAATTTGTCAGTAAAATGGTGCGATCTTATAGATTTTCTCATCAGTGGCTTATCAACGGGGAACTGAGGCAAGCAGGTGAGGAAGAGGAGGAGGGTGAGCTGATATCAGGAGAGGAAGAAAAGAGAAAATGATCAAAGAAAACTTCCTTTAGAGTTTGGTAAAATAAAAAAGTTGAGTTTAATACATCAGGAAAGGGTTTGAGGACACACACACTGGTACACCCTCGTGTCTGGTCCTGTGGAGGGAAAAGAGGAAAGGGGGATTTCCCACATCTTCCAGGGAGCAAGGGGGTTTGGGAAAGACGTGTGTTTGCGTGGGTTTAGCATGAAGAAAATGTGTGTGTTGTTTCTCTTCCATCCATGGCTGCAGTTGCCACATAATCCTTCACTTTTCTCCCCTTCGGCCTCTTGTTCTCTGATTAAATCACACCACAGAGGAAGGAAAACAAGAAAAGATTACTCTTTAACGTTTTCCCCTGAAGCGTCTGAAGTGGCGGTGGTTTTGGTTTGATGTGGCGACCACTGGAGGCGCGACGAGATTTTACACGCTTTTGTCACTCAAATGAACACATGATTGAAAAGAGGTGAAGTGTGTCGCTCCTTTGTTAGCCATCATGGTGTTTGCCAGCAGCTTGGTTGTGATTCTGGGTTTGAAATAAGGCCTGATGAGATGCGTCAGTGATGAATGTGCACAAGAATCACTCAACACACCCAAATTCTGGGCCACGCAATTTACAATTCTACTTTAGGTTGCTGAATTTCTTACACCGTGTGTGTGTGTGTGCGTGACTTCTTGCAGGCCGGCGTGTGCAGCAGGGAGTACATTCCCAAAGGAACTCGCTTTGGTCCCCTGGTGGGTGAGATCTATACAGCTGACAGCGTCCCCAAAGACGCAAACCGCAAGTACTTCTGGAGGGTGAGTAAACACTTTCAACACACACTCGCGACATTTCCTCAGAAGCCGGAGGGACCCTTTCCTGTGACGTCACACGCGTCTAAAATCAGTCAGTTGAGCAGGAAACTGGGCTTGCTGGTTTTGTTCTATGCTTGTGCGTGCGTGCGTGCGTGTGTGCGTGTGTGTGTGTGTGTGTGCGTGTGTGTGTGTGTGTGTGTGTGTGTGTGTGTGTGTGTACGAGAAAAAGAACCAGGGATGTGATGTCACCTTCACACAAATAACATGTCACACATGTTCCTGTAAGTCAGCACGCACTTACACTGGGTTTAAACACACTTCGTCACTACCGGTAACTGAGACAGCACACGTGTGTGTGTGTGTGTGTGTGTGTGTGTGTGTGTGTGTGTGTGTGTGTGTGTGTGTGTGTGTGTGTGTGTGTGTGTGTGTGTGTGTGTGTGTGTGTGTGTTGTAGGTTTGACTTGTACTAAAAGAAGTAACCACAGGCAGAAACTAAGTCATTAGTGTTCCATTCATGCTCATACCTGACTTTCTCACACATGAAGAGAAACGAGAGACGAACACAGAGGAAGAGTAAAAAAGACGCACACGGGAGGGTAGAAAACAAGTTGAACCTTCCTTTCAATTTTCAATATAAAAGAGGATGTCCTCTCATCTCTGTGAGACTGTGACTTCTGTGACTTGCTGAAGATGACGAGGACAAAGACAGGGATGTGGTAAGACACAGAAAAGATGAAGTGAGGCAAAATCAGATTAAAAAAACATCATATTGATGTTTATTATCTTTATTTTGATTTTGTTTTAATATTTATCACAGTGAATCAGTCAGAATTATTTATAGGAACTTTTAATCAAATAAATGTATTTTATTTTTAATTAGGATGTGTTTCATTTTAGGTAACTTTTAAAATTCTAATTTAATTTTATTTTATTTTTTTGACGAATCAACTTCAAAACTACATTTTTAAAACACTTGAAAACACTTTTCCGATCACCTGGTTAGTTGCATTGGTTCCTGATCCAATCCAATTTGTGTAATTTCAAGTTCTAATTTCCCTCACATTTATAAGAAACACTGCAAAAATGGTGTTTTCTTTCTTTGAACGCACTAAGAGGTCAAATCTGTCATTCAGTCGTAACAAATCTCATCCTTTCATTCCAGATCTACGTGGACGGCGAGTTTCACCACTTTGTGGACGGTCTGGATGAGACCCGCTCTAACTGGATGCGGTACGTGAACCCGGCTCACTCCGCAGCAGAGCAGAACCTGGCGGCGTGTCAGAACGGCATGGAGATTTACTTCTACACTGTGAAGCCCGTCCCTGCTGGTGCCGAGCTGCTCGTCTGGTACTGCCACGACTTCGCCCGACGCCTGAGATACCCGCCGTCTGGGGAGCTGATGATGCAGAAACTAAGTGAGTTGATGAAGTTGTTATTCACTCGTTCACAACCAGTGAGGCTGAGGGGGTCATTGGAAGGTGTGGAACATGTCATTGTAGTGGAGAAAGAAGAAAAATGACAAACTTTCATGAACAGCAAACTCATCAATAGGCTGTTTGCATGCATGCATGCGTGTGTGTGTGTGTGCGTGTGTGTGTGTGTGTGTGTGTGTGTGTGTGTGTGTGTGTGTGTGTGTGTGTGTGCGTGCGTGCGTGCGTGCGTGCGTGTGTGTGTGTGTGTGTGTGTGTGTGTGTGTGTGTGTGTGTGTGCGCGCGTGTCCTGTCACCGCTCTTAAAGCCTAACAGTGTTTTTTAGTGTAGCTGTCTCCTTCCGCTCAGTGTTAGCCTATCATTATCTCTCTCTCTCTCTCTCTCTCTCTCTCTCTCTCTCTCTCTCTCTTACACACACAAGCACACACACACACACACACACACGCTCACAGTACACGACCAACGACCTTTCATCTCTGTCAGTGCCATCGTTGTATGTGTCTGTGTGTGTGTGTGTGTGTGTGTGTGTGTGTGTGTGTGTGTGTGTGTGTGTGTGTGTGCCCGCCAGTGACAGTGTAATTACACACAGAGGTATATGGCCCCTAATGCCACAGTCTTACATACTTAAAGACCCGCTTTTAACATAAAAGCTCACACACAACCTTACTCAACCTCAACAAAAGCAGCAGAGACGGAGTGTGTTTGCTCCACTTCGTGTCTTCATTAAGCTTTTTTATGGGGACGACGTCTTTTCTAGATTCACTAAGAAATCTACAGTCCCCCCACCCAACTCCACACACCGGCTCACTCATGACACGGCACTTATCCACTCTGGTCGAGCAGATCAAAGAGAGAGAGAGGGAAACAAAAGGAGAACAGAGGGAGCTGAGAGCTTTCCAGGTGTGACTGCAGGCTAATAGCAGTTTTAAGGTGGCAGAGGAACTGCTACACCCAGCCAGAGTGGCTCCACTGCCCAGGGAAAAATGCGCATGACCTGGGGGAGAAAGGCACACGGGGTCCCCACCCCCGTAGCTCCCCATCTCAGCACATTGTGTACAATCTATACGAGTTGTCTTTAATTAGCCTCATCTGTCATTTGAGCCCCGCAGGCTTCTGCCGACCCGCCACGGAGTTTAAAATGGATTTGTACCTGGATTTGAGCTGCACTTTTGTCTTCGGGGCCAAGAGAGCTTTGAGTCTCGAGACCTTTTTCTTTCTCGGCTTTATGTATTCATTTTCCCTGAATGACTGTGATGACTGACTGTTGGGCTGGATCGCAGGTTAGCCCTTTTAGCAGAGTCAGAAACAATGTCATTAGCTGAGTAAAACCAAGAAAACCACAATCTTTCTAACTAAGGAACGTTAAACTGAAGCTCTGTTAAAGGGCAAAAGGTAAAAAGACCAGGAGGTTTAAACGTTTAACCATCATTTATGTTAA